TCTTATGAAGGGAAGGCTTCGGCCTCTGTGCCCTGTTGCTTGCCCTCCAGAGGAACTGGTTGGCCCCTGTGTGAGGCAGGATGCTGGACTAGATGGACCCTCACTGGTCTGATCCAGCAGGGCTCTTCTGATGTTCTTATTTGCTTCATGAGGGGGGGTACTTGTATGGCTGCGTTAATAGCATTGGCTACGAAAACCTTAACCGGACTGCTGTTCTTATTGGTGTTCAGCTCAAGGAACTGTAAAAGAGTCTTACGTGAAGAAGAGAGTTCCTCAGTTGAGAGCAAGGTTCGAGTCCTGTAGCGCCTTAGAGACCAACAAGATTGCCAGGGTCACCCTGACCTGGATCGCCCAGGCCAGCCCGATCTCGTCAGATTTTGGAAGCTGAGCAGGGCCGACCCTGGCGAGTACTCGGATAGGAGACCTTCAAGGGATTCCAAGGCTCCTATGTTATTCTTACACCTCCAACAGTTTCCAGAGACATTAGTGTAGCATTTAAGCAATTTATCCAGTGTCCAGTGCCACCTGTATAACATTTTAATTATATTTTCTTTATATGACGTGGATCTTAAGAATTTAATAGATCTCCATGTTTTTTCCCATTCTTCTAGTCTTATATTGCGCCCTATGTCTTTTATCCAAGTTGTCATTGACGGTTTTAACCACTCCTCCAGAATATTGGAAAATATAACATATTTGGAGTGTGTGTTATGAAAAAAATGAAAATAATATATATATATTTTTAAAAAAAAAAAAAAAAAAAAGGAATACCAGGGCTGGGATGCAGAGGCAGCCTACCAAGCTACCTCTCTGAAAAACATCCAATCCCCCAGTAGGGGTCGCCAGAAGTTGCCATGACTTCCAGGCATGCAAGCACATACACACACAAACACACACACACACACACACACACACACAGAGATTGCAAGGGTTCTCTGATCAAAGCAGCTTTGGTATCTCATTAAAAGAACGTTGACTCTCGAAAGCTAACACCCTGGAAATCTGGACCCAAATCTTGCTCTTCTACTGCAGATCAACACGCCTAAAGGTAAAAGTGTCCCTTGCTCGAAATCCAGTCAAATCCGACTCTAGCGGGTAGTGCTCTTCTCCGTTTCCAAGCCAAAGAGCCAGCGCTGTCCGAAGACGCTTCCGTGGTCATGTGGCCAGCATGACTAAACGTCGAGGTGCACGGAACACTGTTACCTTCCCACCAAAGCGGTACCTATTTATCTACTTGCAATTTCTTGCTTTCGAACTGCTAGGTTGGCAGGAGCTCGGGTCAGAGACGGGAGCTCACTCCGTCACGCGGGACTCGCGTCTCGAACTGCCGAACTACCGACCTTCCAGTCTGCAGTTAAGTGTCTTAACCTCTGAGCCACTGCGGCCCCCTCAGCATGCCTACACACCTGAAACTACCTTCAGTCAGGAATTACATGGGGGAAGGGGAATCTTACACACATCTCACAGAACCAAACAGCCTCAACCACATGCCCGTACTGAGTGCAAATCCCTCCTCTTCCTTCCCCTTACCACCTGTCCTTCTCAAATGAACGCCCCCCCCCCACACTTTTCTGCTGCTCACGGCTAGGGTACGTTCACACTGCTCTCGGCTGACCGCCAGCAGGAAGCTGAGAGAAAGAAGTGTCGCTTCGCACTCAAACCCACCCAATCCTTGCTTCGGAGAGAGTGAGAAGACAGCCTAAATTTGGCATTTGTTCCGCTAAGTACCTTTCTGGTACGCATCGGTTATTTTTAACCAGAAAGAGTTCGTCTGGGGATAAGAGCGCAGCGTTCTCACTCAAGCCAGCCTCTTTTTCCCATCCAAAACTCCCAGTTGAAGGTTTCATCAGACAAAGAAGTTTATTTTATTTCTTTGATGCATTCATACCCTGCCTTTTTTCCCCAATGGGGACCCCAAACCACTTACATCATTGTCCTCTCCTCCATCTTATCCTCACAACAACCCTGTGAGGTAGGCTAGGCTGAGAGTGTGTGACCGACCCAAGGTCACCCAGTAAGGTTCCATGGCAGAGCAGGGATTCGAACCTGCATCTCCCAGATCCTACTCTGATGCTGTAACAACTAAGCTATGCTGGCTCTGGGGGGGGGGGGCCGCTCACAAACTTCATAGTGATTTTCTCCAAGATAAGCTGGCAGATACCTTTCCATTAGGTTTGGACTCAGCTAAGAACTACACTTCATCCAGCGATTACAGGGGCAGACATTTTGCCTAGGGCTCCCTTGGGCCACAGCCTGGGGACGTAGGGGGGTTCTAAGAACTCATATTGTCCTCTTCCTTTGGGAATCACTCCTACCCACCCCCAAACTACAGTTTTGTGTAGTGGTTAAGAGTGGCGGACTCTAATCTGGGAGAACTGGGTTTGATTCCCCACTCCTCCACATGCAGCCAGCTGGATGACCTTGGGCCAGTCACAAGTTCCCTCAGAGCTCTTCTCTCAAGAGCAGTTCTCTCAGAGCTCTCTCAGCCCCACCTACTTCACAGGGTGTCTGTTGTGGGGAGAAGAAGGGAAGAAGACTGTAAGCCGCTCTGAGACCCCAAGTGAAGGGCGGGGTATAAATCCAATCTCCTCTTCTTCTCCTGCCAGAGCTGTGCCCAGCTGCCTTCCAGATGCGGCATGCAGTGTCCGGGGACTGAATGGGCACAGCCAAGACTCAGAGGGCACTGGACGAATGAGCCCTCTGGCCCTTTCTCTCCTCTCCAGTCTGGTGTAGTGGTTAAGTGCGTGGACTCTAAACTGGGAGAACCGGGTTTGTTTCCCCACTCCTCCACTTGCACCTGGCTGGGTGACCCTGGGAAAGCCGTAGTTCTGATAAGAGCTGTTCTTGAAAAAAGAGCAGTTTCTGTCAAGAGCTCTCTCAGCCCCACCTACATCACAGGGTGTCTGTTGTGGGGAGAAGAAGGGAAGGAGATTGTAAGCTGCTCTGAGACCCCAAGTGAATCCAATCTCTTTTTCTTCTCCTGCCAGAGCTTTGAGGGTTTATATACCCAATTACTGTCCCTAAGACCCAACTGTAGCTGTTGGCTGCAACATTATTTGGAATACAGTGTACAGTTCTGGTCACCGTATCTCGAAAAGGACACTGCAGAGCTGGAAAAATTACAGAGGTGGGCAACTGAGATGATTAACAGGTCGGAGCACCTTTCCTAGGAGGAAAGGCTAAAGAGTCTGGGACTCTTCCCTTTAGAAAAGAGACCACTAAGGGGCAACATGATAGAGATTTATAACATTATGCGTGGGGTGGAGAGAGTTGACAATGAGAAACCTTTCTCCTTCTCTCAAAATACTAGAACTTGAGGTCATGCAATGAAACTGATGGGCTCAGTAGGGTTCAGGATGGATGGACTGAAGGAAATACTATTTCACACACAGAGTGATTAAAAGGTGGAATTCGCTGCCACAGGATGTAGTGACAGCCACAGGAATAAAGAGTTTTAAAAGGGGATTAGGTAGATTCATGGAAGAGAAGTCTATCAATGGTTACTAGCTGAGGTGGACCTTCATGTTTGGAGGCACTAATCTTCGGAATCCCTGAGCCAGGAGGCAACATCAGGGGAAGGCTTTGGCCTCCCTGCCCTGTTGCTGGCCCTCCAGAGGAACTGACTGGCCACTGTGTGAGATGGGATGCTGGACTAGATGGACCCTCACTGGTCTGACCCAGCAGGGCTCTTCTGGTGTTCTTATCAGGGGAAGGCCTCGGCCTCCCTGCCCTGTGGTTGGCCCTCCAGAGGAACCGACTGGCCACCATGTGAGAGAGGATACTGGACTAGGTGGACCACTGGTCTGACCCAGCAGGGCTCTTCTGCTGTTCTTATCAGGGGAAGGCCTCGGCCTCTCTGCCCTGTGGTTGGCCCTCCAGAGGAACTGACTGGCCACCGTGTGAGAGAGGATACTGGACTAGGTGGACCACTGGTCTGATCCAGCAGGGCTCTCCTGATGTTCTCATTATTTTATTTATTTAAACACATTTTTATGCCGCTTTTCCATCCAATCAGGGTCTCCAAGGTGGTGAACAGAAATACAGTAAAACATTTGAACAACTGAAAACATGTAAAATGATAAAATAATTCAGTAAAAACACATCCACAAACAACACCAGATCCAGGAAGGCGGACCAATGATGGTTACGGGGGATATGACAGATGAAACAAAAAAGGCTTTGCCCAGTGACGGAGGATACCGATAGAGGGAGACAGACGAACCTTCCTGGGGAGGGAGTTCTCAAATTTTGGTGCCCTGATTGAGAAAGCCCTTTCTCGGATTGCTACCCTTAGATGCTGGGACAACGGAAGCATGGCATCTGAAGATAACTAGAATGTACAGGTAGGTTCATATGGGAGAAGGCGGTACTTGAGGGGTCCTTTTTTACAAATCTGCTTCCGGAAAGGTGGTTGTGTTTAACCCGTGAGTCTCCCCCACATAGCAGAAATGCTTCCCTGCTTCAGAGAAGGACTAGAACACCACGTCTCGGCTGTCAGGGCCACGTTCTGATCCCGCCCTGGGAACGGGGAAGAAGAGATTGGATTTATACCCCGCTCTTCACTACCCAAAGGTGTCTCAGAGCGGCTTACAAATTCCTTTCCCTTCCCCTCCCCACAACAGACACCCGGTGAGGTAGGTGGGGCTGAGAGAGCTCTTGACAGAAATGGCTCTTTTTTCGAGAACAGCTCTTGTCAGAACTATGGCTTGCCCAAGGTCATCCAGCCAGGTGCAACTGGGGGCGTGGGGAATCAAACCTGGTTCTCCCAGATTAGAGTCTGCGCTCCTAACCACGACACCAAACTGGCTGCCAGCCCTGCCTCCATCCCAGAGGCTGCAGAGAAGTTTCTGTTCTCCTGGAGAGTGAGGCCTGGCGTGGCCGGCTTTGCTACAACCAAAGATCATCCTGGCTGCCCCGACCCTGGATCGCCCAGGCAAGCCCAATCTCGTCAGATCTCGGAAGCGAAGCAGGGCCAACCCTGGCGAGTACTCGGATGAGAGACCTCCAAGGAATACCAGGGCCGGGACAGAGAGGCAGGCAATATCAAGACACCTCTCTGAAAACGTCCAAGCCCAGTAGGTGTCGCCAGACGTCACCCTGTCTTCCAGGCACGCCGGCACGCACGCACACGTACACAGAACACTAAAAAATAATCAAAGAGATCATTCTGGTTCGCTTCAGTCACCATTGGAACTGAACACCCCTAAGCTGAGGGTACCCCTACCACGAAGGCAGATTTCTCTGTTTTCCTCAACGCTCGGCACCGTTTGCCTACCTCCTTCACACGTCCACATGAAGCTGCCTTATCCTGAATCAAAACATTGGTCCATCCGGTCAGTCTCATCTACTCAGACTGCCATCGGTTCTCCAGGGTCTCAGGTTGAGGTCTTTCACATCACCTCCTGCCTGGCCCTCTGAACTGGAGAGGCCGGGGATTGAACCCCTGACCTTCTGCACGCCAAGCAGATGCCCCACCACTGAGCCATGACCTTTCCCATGAATGAAGCTCTCACACATAGCTGCCTTACACCGAATCCGACCCTTGGTCCAGCAAGGTCCAGATTGCCTACTGTCAGCTATGCTGCCATGGGGGTGGGGATGTTCTTTCAGTGTCTGTGTAATTTGCTTTCGCATTCCTTTCTCTCTGCTTTGCGCTGAAATAAAGACGTACAGGTGGTCGGTGGTGATGTGTGTTGTCTGCCATCCAGGCCAACCGTGGGAGCCGGACAATTCCCAGCTTCGGCTAGTAACGCTTGCCAGCTCTAGCCCATGCGTGGGAAGGTGCCTGGGTGCCTAATTGGCCAGCGCAGTGCATACGAATGCCCTATATCTCATTAGGTTCAAGAGGCAACTGCTATTCTTAACAGTGACTATGTTAATGCATCTATGGCTCTTCAATAAAAGTATAACCTTTCTAAAGAAGTGTGTACTCCGTTGTTGGCTGTGGGTTCTGACACCTACTCATCCTGGCACTGCCTCTCCAGGGTCTCAGGTGGAGGTCTTTCACAACACCGACTGCCTGGTCCTTTTTAATTAGAGAAGCCAGGGATTGAACCTACAGCCTCCCTGCATGCAAAGCAGAGGCTCTTCCACTGAGCCTCAATCCCTTACTTGAGCCCTATGTAGCTATTTGCTCACCAGAAAGCAGCCTGGATCACACAGTCTCCAAAACTGAAGGGTACGTCCCCCTTTGGAAGAGACGGCAACGGTTCCCATCCACGCCCCCTCCCAGTGCAGACCCCCAATGAGCCCCCTTTCTTCTTCTGCTGATTCCCAGGAGCAAAACTAGGAGTGAGGATCAGTGGGCTGCGGGACAGGAAAGCAGAAAAAGTCTCCGCAAGTAGATCTCATGGTGCACGGAGACACGTCCCACCTGCCTTCCAGATGCAGCATGCAGTGTCCGGGGACTGAATGGGCACAGCCAAGACTCAGAGGGCACTGGACGAACGAGCCCTCTGGCCCTTTCCCTCCCCTCCAGTTTGGTGTAGTGGTTAAGTGCGTGGACTCTACACTGGGAGAACCGGGTTTGAGTCCCCACTCCTCCACTTGCACCTGGCTGGGTGACCCTGGGCAAGCCGTAGCTCTGATAAGAGCTGTTCTTGAAAAAAGAGCAGTTTCTGTCAGAGCTCTCTCAGCCCCACCTACCTCACAGGGTGTCTGTTGTGGGGAGGGGAAGGGAGAGGAGACTGTAAGCCACTCTGAGACTCCCTTGGGTAGTGAAGGGCGGGGTATAAATCAAATCTCTTCTTCTTTCCGACTATTACCAGCCCCACCTACCTCACCGGGTGTCTGCTGTGGGGAGGGGAAGGGAAAGGAGATTGTAAGCCGCCCTGAGACACCTTTGGGTAGTGAAGGGCAGGGTATAAATCCAATCTCTTCTTCTTCTTCTTTCCAACTATTACCAGCCCCACCTACCTCACAGGGTGTCTGTTGTGGGGAGGGGAAGGGAAAGGAGATTGTAAGCCGCCCTGAGACTCGGGGTATAAATCCAACTCTTTTTCTTATTCAGTAGAAAGAAGATATAAAAATGACTTTCTCTCTTAAGGGCAAGAGCTCCCTTGCATACTTAAATTTATTTACTTCATTTATAAGAACATAAGAGAAGCCAATGTTGGTTCAGGCCATTGGCCTATCTAGTCCAACACTTTGTGTCATACAGTGGTCAAAAATACCAGGTGCCGTCAGGAGGTCCAGCAGTGGGGCCAGGACACTAGAAGCCCTCCCACTGTTGCCACACACACACCCCAAGCACCAAGAATACAGAGCATCCCTTGCCCCAGACAGAGAGTTCCTATCTATACCTTGTGGCTAATAGCCACTGATGGACCTCTGCTCCGTATGCTTATCTAATTCCCTCTTGAAGCCCTCCATGCTTGTAGCTGCCACCACCTCCTGTGGCAGTGAACTCCATGTGTTAATCACTCTTTGGGTGAAGACGGGGAGCCAAGGTGGCTGGCGCAATTCCCCTCTCCTTCATTTTATCCACAACAACCACCTTCTGAGGTAGGTTAGGCTGAGAGTGCGTGACTGGCCCAGGGTTGCCCAGCGAGCTGCCATGGCAGAGCAGGGATTAGAACCCAGGTTTCCCAGATCCTAGTCTGACACTCTAACCACTACACTATTGAAAGACATCACCATAGGACAACCAGGAAACAAAGGATTGGAACCAGCAGGGAAAGAACACCCTGCAGAAGGAGGCTCTGTGCTCTACTTACACTTCTGCATTGACGTAGAAATGGCAGCCGAGGTCCACTTGGGTCACCAACTCCCGACTTCCTGTCTCCTGAGAGGAAAGGACAGCATCTTTACCAATCTACTTTTGCTCCCTAGGACAGAGCTACCTTTACAACTGTTCCTTCTGCCTGCGGTCTGCTACCATCAAACCCCCGCTTCACACCACTTCTAATCTGATGAAAGCCATCAACTTGAAGGGGCGACAAACAAAGGAGTTCTGAATTACCTGAAGCCGCTCAATCACGTTCTTCAGCTGCAGGTACTGGGCGATCTTCTCGTAGACTTCATCCCGCTGCTCCAACACTTTCCTGGGAGAAAATGTCAGTCACTGTCCAGCGGGGGCAGTTATTTTGCTACCCCAAAGAATGTATGTCCTGACCTGGACAGCCCAGGCTAGTCTGATCTCGTCAGGTCTCAATAGCCAAGCAGGGTTGACCCAGGTTAGTACCTGGATGGGAGACCACCAAGGAAGCCCAAGGGCGCTACGCAGAAGCAAGCAATGGCCAATCCCCTCTGAACGTCTCTTGCCTTGAAACCCCTACAGGGTCACCATAAATCAGCTGCAACTCGACAGCACTTTCCACTATCCAATTTTTCCCCCAGATAGCATATTGCTGTGTGGGATTTGGTTCCATAGATAAATCACTGCACCTCCTTGACAGATCCTGTGTCTAGAGTCCAGCAGTTCACCACCACTCTCCCTTGCCCATGTACCATGTGCGTGTGTCATGATCTGGGCTGTGCAAGCAAAGGCCTAGCAAGCCCAGGAAGCCTGAGTAGCAGTGGGAGGAGGCCAGGCCTACAACTCCCAGAAGTCCCTGGGAGGTTTTGGTGCCAATTTTAGCCAATCACAGAGAAAGGGGACTTATAATAAAAGGGCTGGTACAGAAGGAGAGCTGTTCTCTCTTCCAAGAGAGAAGGGCCAGAGGGAAGGCTGCTGCTGGGAGAGACCCTCACCCTGAGAGGAAGGGTGAGTAGATGCAGGCCCAACTGAGGCAGTGAACTAGGGACTGTGAGTCTAGTTGCGTTAGGGCATTTGGTTTCTTTTCCCTTCACCCACTTATTGTTATTGTTCTTGCACCTTGTTTGTTTCCCATATTGGGCTGACCGCCGGTAAAATAAACCCTTTATTTGTTGTTTACTCTGCCTGGTCCTCACACCTATTATTCGGCCAAATTATTTGGTCTGAAGGTCTTGGGAGGGTGCTCCGGGCCTTCTCAAGGGATCCTAAAACGAGAGTGGTGGCAGCGTCAGGTGACACCCCCACCTGAGCCGTGACAGCATGCCTTTTACGATTGTGTGACTCCTGACTCCATGGAATCACAAGACGATAATGCTTACCAACCGCACACAATAGATTATGCATTATACGTAAAAACTGGATAGCCCAGGCTAGCCCGATCTCATCAGATCTCAGAAGCTGAGCATGGTCAATACTGGTTGGTACTAAGATAGGAAACTACCAATGAAGTCCAGGGCTGGTATGCAGAGGCAGGCAACGGCAAACCACCTCTGTTCATCTCTCGCCTTGGAAACTCTATAGGATTGCCATAAGTCGGCTGCAAGTTGCCAGCGCCTTTCACCACCAAACCATGCACACTCACCGCTGCCTGGGCCCAGGCACCCGGTGGCTAGGGCTGCCAAGTGGGGGCAGGTGGCGGGTAAACCCCCGCTTCGGAGGCCCAATTCCTGCCGCCGCTGAATCAGGCCCTGGGGGGGACTCCGCCCCCCGAAGCGCACCTCTGGTGACGCAACCACGTCAATCACGTTGGGGGCATGGCCCCGAGGCCCCGATCGTCGGAGGGAAAACTCTATGGTTTCCCGTCCGACGATCGGGGCCATACCTTCAACGTGATCGATGTCGCTCGTCACTTCCAGTGACGTGCTGGCAGCACACATCGACAGACGGCTCCCAGAGCCCAGTGAGGCTCCCCCGCCGGTAAGAAAAATTGACTTGGCAACCCTACCGGTGGCTGAGACCCAGGTAGTGCAAAGCCCAGAGGGTAATTATGTATTTCAGTATTACGACTGAAAGTGAGCAGAGTCCCTGCCGGCATCAATGCCCTCCTCAGCAATGCCACCCCGAGCTGTGATTTGGTTGGAGAATTGGTCCTGCTGCCTAAGAGCACGAGAAACTCTCTGGCTGGGGCAAGTAATACACTGTATTATTGATGCTTGGTGGTGGGGCAACAGTGGGAGGGCTTCTAGTGTCCTGGCCCCACTGCTGGACCTCCTGATGGCACCTGGTATTTTTGGCCACTGCGTGACAGTGTTGGACTGGATGGGCCATTGGCCTGATCCAACATTGGCTTCTCTTATGTCCTCTTATGTTCTTAAACTGGACCCAAAACAAGAACCATTGGGAATCTGAGGGAGGGAGCTTGCCCAAGGCATGACAGGTATGTGGTGTCACTTACTGGAGATCCCTCTGCAGAACATCACTGATGAAAGCTTCGTAGCGCAGCACCTTCCCTTCCACTTCCTGTTTGCCTAGCATGGCCATGGGAGTCCCCGAAGAGCAGTGGTGGCCGGGACTGTGGAAAGAAGGAGAAGTTAACCTCTGCAACTCGGGGGGAAAGCAAAAGCAGATCTCCAACCAGCAAGCACTGGGCACAAATCAGAAATGATCAGTGGATATGGCTGCAAAGCTCCAGGTGGACCCTGGAGATCTTCTGCTATTACAACTGATCTCCAGCTGACAGAGATCAGTTCCCCTGGAGAAAATGGCTGCTTTGCAGGGTGGACTCTATGGCAAAGTATCCCGCTGAGGACGGTGCCTCCCCTCCCCACACTCCACCTCCCAAATCTCCAGGTATTTCCCAACTCAGAGCTGGCAACCCTGTTGTGAATTACACGGTTGGCCACTGCTGCTGAGGTTTCTAAGAAGGCAAAGGCACCCCAATCTTCCACCACCCTTTTCTTCCCTCAGCATTCATCACACCCCTCAGGTGGGCTAAACCTTTACCTCGCTGGTTTCCAGCTCGTGGAAACAAGCGATGGCCACCCAGGAAATAAAAGGGGGAAGAGGGCTCAATTGCTCGCTTCCTTCTTCTTTCCTCCAAGAAGTGCCGTCTGCAAGTTTCCCTGTTTTTGCATTTAAATGCACGCGTTTTTCTCAGCTCTCCGAAAGGCACAAAGACAGTAATAAGGGAATACGACCCAGTTGCCAAAGCAGGCCCTAGAGTCTGTAAGGAATTCGACTCCCTCGCAAGCCCCTCACTTCCGGCATTCAATCGAACCCCAACCAAGAGGAAACTATCCCAAAGGTACGACGCAGGAATAGTAAGAACAAAATATCCCAAAGGTACGACGCAGGAATAGTAAGAACAAAATAAACGACTCCATTCTAGCACCTTTATCTCCTTCTCATTTGGTTAGCTACTGCCGCTGTTCCTGGGCAACTCTGCCGCTGGGAAGCCACCATTTGCGGGGCGAGAGTACCGGAAGGCGCTCAGTCTCTATGGAGGCTCCCCACAGGTGGCCACACTCTTTTCTTAGATGTAGCTCAGCGTGATGTAAACGGAAGACGGAAATCTACTTCCGGGTTGAACATCCGGGCAACTGGAAAGCTAGTCTGAATTCGTCAAAACATTTCCATTACAATGAAAATTTTTCTAGAAATCTTTTTAGAAATTGTTTTCTACAGTGAAATGAAGGAAGTGTCAAGTGATTAACAGGCAACTGTTCCCAACGAAGTTTCGCCTCCGTCTTTCAGAACCGGGCACCGGAAGCGACCGCTTTCTCTCTGATGTCATTTCCGGTTCCCGTGCCTGGCCAAAAAAAGTTTGGTTTCTGTTTTTAAATAAAGTGGTCTTGAGCCCGCCCAGCAATGGCGGCGCCGGAGTTGCGCCTGGACGGCTCGATTCGCTTCTGGGTTTTGCTGCCCGTCGCTTGGATCGCGCTGGCCGTCGGGATCCTGCGGCTGCGCGTCGCGGCGCTGCTGCGCGGCGAGCGCGACCTGGGTTGGCCCCAGCAACTGCAGGACACGTGAGCGGGGGGGCGGGGCGGAGGGAGCGTCTGATCTGGTATAAGGCACCTTCATGTGTAAGAATTGCATCTACCTGTATGAACCAATGCTCCCTCTAAGCCATGGAGTCTTCGGAGCAAAAGTTCTACTTTGTGAGCTATTGCTATTAAAGTTGTGAGCAAGCAGTTTGGCTGCCGCATAAACCAGTTTGCTCTGGAGCCCGCCTTCCTGAGCTAAGACAAAAAAGTGTGAGCCGGAGGCTAAAAAACTGTGAGCGAGCTCACGCTAACTCAGCTTAGAGGAAACACTGGCTATGAACCTCAGTTATCAGCTTAGAGGAAACACTGGCTATGAACCTCAGTTATTTCACTCAAAAGTATCATCTTCCCCTGCTAATTTTCTTAGAGCTATTCTGAGACTTTGTCCATTGCAGTTAGCTGTGTCCTAAGATCAGCAGTCAAGACACCCTGCAGCAAGATCATAGAGGAAACAATTATGCAGTTCCTGTATTATTATTATTATTATTTACAGATAGGGTTGTCAACTCTGAGTTGAGAAATACCTGGAAATTATGTGTGTGAATTGGGGATGGACCTCAGTGAAGTATAATGCCACAGAGTGTTCACGCTCCAAAGCAGCCATTTTTCTCCAAGGGTAATCTGAAGATCAGCTATAAGACTAGGAGACCTCCAGGCCCCACCTGAAAGTTGGAAACCCTATTTACAAAGTTTGTATCCTGCCCTTGTGTGCTTAGCTTCACAGTTTTTCCTCTGTGACATTGCCAGGGATTTGACGGGGCCATTCTGATTGCTTCATCAGTTTGCAGGATGGGAATATGAATCATACAATCATAGAGTTGGAAGGGACCTCCAGGGTCATCCAGTCCAACCCCCTGCACAAGGCAGGAAATTCACAAATACCTCCACACCCACAGTGACCGCTGTTCCACCCCCAGGAGATGGCAAAAAACCTCCAGAATTGCTTCCTGACCCCAAATGGCAATCAGCATTTCCCTGGGTGTGTAAGGAAGGGCCACGAGAACTAAGCCCTGATGCTACCCTTCCTGCCCTCCCCCTCATGATCTGCCTGAATTCACAGAATCAGCAGTGCTGTCAGATGGCCATCTAGCCTCTGTTTCAAAACCTCCAAAGAAGGAGAGCCCAACACTTGAGAAAGCCTGCTCCACTGAGGAACCACTCTGTCAGGAAGGCTCTGTCAGGAAGTTCTTCCTAATGTTTAGCCGAAAACTCTTCTGATCTAATTTCAACGTTGGTTCTGGTCCGACCTTCAGGGGCAGCAGAAAACAACTCCGCACCATTCCTAGATGACAGCTTTTCAAGTACTTGAAGATGGTTATCATATCTGGACTTTCAGTGGTGGCTGCAATTCAAAAATCAGTATTTATGCCTCGCATGTGTCATTTAGGTGAATCAGTTATGTTGGCATGACGATTGAGCAGAGTGTTCTTTATCTGTCAGGCAGATTCTGGCACGCAGCCGCCTTCTGAGGGAAAATGGACGGTTCCTGACTCACCAGGTGACAGAGAATGGTGGGGGGGTGATCCCTTTCTGAAGACCCTCCTAATCTACTCACATAATCTCTGGGACAGTGGTTCTCAGCAAGTGCACAGACACAGAGAGGCGTGTGCATGGCTTTGCTTTGGTGCGGGACTTTGTCTTGCGGTCTCTGTTGTCTACTCAGGGGCCTGCACAGGTGCCAAAGAGTTCTGTTCACACAACTAACAAAAAAGCACCAGATAAGCTTGGTGTGCATGCACACTTCACACAGTAGCTTATGCCCAGAATTAAACTTTGTTGGTCTTAAAGGTGCCGCTGGAGTCAAACTTTGATATGTCGCTTCAGAACAACACCTGGATCTAACTCCTGTCACTAGTTAGTCGTTCAGCACTAGGTTGTGGTCGCCGGAGCTCATGGTCAAAAGGCTATGAACAGACTGTGGAAACTTGAAACCGATTCAGGAGGGCTGACAATTCCTGCTCTTAGCCCAGATGCTCTCCAGCTGCTTGCTTATTTATGGCCCCGGTCACACGGCAAAGTTGCTGCGGGAGAGGCATGGAAGGATTATCCGGGCACGATCACACCCCAACATCTGGGAAGTGGAGCGCACCCGTGGCATACTGCTGACAATGCACATTTAAAAACTAGTACCTCCAAGGTACTAGTAAACGTTTGCCACAGGCTGCCTCCACTGAGGAAGGCCCTTTGAGGCCAAAACGCGTTTGGTCTTCAGTTGGAAAGTGTTGACCCATCATGTGTATTAATATTTGATATGCTTTTATTAGTCTGATACTTGAAAAAAATTTAACCCGATTATATTTTAATATGTGTACACCCTAATAAATTTTGTATTTTTATAATATATATGGTCAGCTTAACCCTTCTGGTTCGCGGGGAAGGGGGAATGCAAACCTTAAGGGTACCGTGGGAGACACTGTGATGTGGTGGGGAGAGTGTTGGATTAGGGTTTGGATGGCACCTAGGTTTAAACCCCCACTCTGTCTCAAAACTTGCTGGGTGATCTCGGGCCAGAGAGCCAGTTTGGTGTAGTGGTTAAGAGAGGTGGACTCTAATCTGGAGACACAGGTTTGATTCCCCACTCCCTCACGTGAGGTCTACTGGGTGACCTTGGGTCAGTCACAATTCTTTCAGAGCTGTTCTCTCAAGGGCGGTTCTCTCAGAGCCCTCTCAGCCCCACCTAACTCACGGGCAATGCTCCCTCTAAGCTGTGGAATCTCGTGAGCAAAAAGTCTACTTTGTGAGCTACTGGCATTAAAGTTGTGAGCAAGCGATTTGGCTACTTCATCATTTAGCTTGCTCTGGAGCAATGCTCCCTCTAAGCTGTGGAGTCTCGTGAGCAAAAAGTCTACTTTGTGAGCTACTGGCATTAAAGTTGTGAGCGAGCGATTTGGCTACTTCATCATTTAGCTTGCTCTGGAGCCATCCTCCCTGAGCGAAGACAAAAACTCACACTAACTCATCTTAGAGGGAACACTGCTCACAGGGCACGTGTTGTGGGGAGGGGAAGGGGAAGGAGATTGTAAGCAGCTCTGAGACTCTTTTGGGTAGTGAAAAGCAGGGTATAAATCCAGTTTCCTCTTCTTGACTCTCAGCCTGATCTACCTCACAGGATTGTTGGGAGGATAAAATGGGAGCTCCTGGGATGAAAAATGTGATGAAAAAGCTAATAAAATGGCCTAAGAAACTTTTCTCCAATATTGCCTGCTCCCAGTCTGACTAAGCATGTTGCTTGGAGACTCGCCTGTGAATCAAGGCCATTCCCCGTTGAAGTCTTACCATAGTGGTGAGCTCACAAAGTAGCCCAATTATTGATTCATGGGATTGTGCTAAGGATGACTGAGGAGCTGCACACGAAGCGTTATAAACACTGAAAAAGCCCCTACTAGCTTCCTTATTCCCATTTATTTATTTATTTGCTTCATTTCTACCTGGCCTTTCTCCCCCGATGGGGACCCAAAGCAGCTTACACCAGTCTCTCCTCCACTTAATCCTCACAACAACCCTGTGAGGTAGGGTTAGGCTGAGGGAGTGTGGGAGTGGCCCAAGGTCACCCAGCAAGCTTCCATGGCACAAGCAGGGATTCGAACCTGGGTCTCCCGGATTCCGACACTCTTAACCACTACACCACACTGGCTCTCAACGTTTGGGTATTTGTGTCGTCTCACGTCCCTTCCTGATGTTTCCACAGGGCTTCCTCATGCGCAAACATTACTTCAACAACCCGGAAAGCGGCTTCTTCCGTAAAACGAAGCGTAAGATCCAGCCCCGAAACCCGCTGACAGGTAATGAGACGGGCTGGGCACTAGGGCGGCGGGGGGGGGGTATTTATTTCAAACCCTTTGTACTTCCCCATCCCCAGAGTACAGGGGGTTGGACTAGATGACCTGCAAGGTCCCTTCCAACTCTAACATTCTATGATTCTAAGTCTCTGAGCTCAGTTTCCACATTTCACCACTGTTTCAGAGATTTTGCCTTTGCTGCTGTTGGATCACACCCTGCGCAGAGTCGTGCTTTAATACTTCCTCTTTTTCTCCCCCCCCCCCCCCCCAGATCCAACTATGGTTACGGAGATGATGAAAGGGAACATTGTCAACGTGATTCCCATGATCCTCGTCGGAGGCTGGATCAATTGGGCATTCTCCGGCTTCGTGGCGAGTGAGTGAAGCAGCTCAGGGAAGGGAATGGGTGTGACGTTCAAGAGCCAAAGTTCCAGTGGGTGGTGAACATGAGAGAAGCCAGTATTGGATCAGGCCCGTGGTCCATCCAGTCCAACACTCTGTGTCACACAATGGCCAAAAGCCAGGGGCCATCAGGAGGTCCACCGGCAGGGCCAGAACTCCAGAAGCCCTCCCACTGTGGCCCCCCAAGCACCAAGAACACAGAGCATCCCTGCCCCAGACATAGTGTTCCCTCTATACCTTGTGGCTAATAGCCACTGATGGACCTCTGCTCCATATATGTTTAAGAGCATAAGAACATAAGAGGGGCCAATGTTGGATCAGGCCAATGGCCCATCCAGTCCAACACTCTTGTCACACAGTGGCCAGAAATACCAGTGCCATCAGGAGGTCCACCAGTGGGGCCAGGACACGAGAAGCCCTCCCACTGTTGCCCCACCCCCAGCACCAAGAATACAGAGCATCCCTTGCCCCAGAGCTCCTATCTATACCTAGTGGCTAATAGCCACTGATGGACCTTTGCTCCATAGGTTTATTCTAATTCCCTCTTGAAGCTGTCCATGCTTGTAGCTGCCACCACCTCCTATGGCAGTGTTTAGGTGGTTTTCATAGGTCGTTTTACAGATGGCGAGAACGGAGTCTGAGGGTGGCTTGCCCACAGTCAACTAGTGTAATGCAGCAGCTAAAAGAGCAAGGAATCAGGGAGTCCCCAATTCAAATCTTGGCTCCCCCTTGCACTCAGCAGACAACCACAGGCAACTTGCCATCCCCTGAACTGCCCCCTCCTTTCCAACAATCTAAAACACAGGGGTAATGGTAATTGGCCTATCTCACAAGACCGTAGTGAGGATTATAGTGCTAGTGCATGGGGAGAGTTTGAAAGTGCTACGCTATTGCTACATGTTGTTATTAGTAGGATTTGAACTTGGGTCCTCCAGGTTATTTCCTTTTGATCGCAGAAGGGATGGACCAGCAGTGTTTTCAGGCATGACAGGGAAATGTAGGTCAGGATGGAGGAGTGGGAGGCGGGCTGCAGGTGGTGGGGCTGCGGTAGAGCTTGCTGTGGGGAGACGCCGGCTCTAACCCTCTCCCTCCCGACCTCCCTAGCCAAAGTTCCCTTCCCCCTGACCCTGCGATTCAAGCCCATGCTGCAGCGCGGGATTAACTTGCCTTCCCTGGATCCCTCTTGGTAAGCACGTCTCTCCCCGCCCCCAAGGCCCGAACCGCTCCTTTGCCAGGGAATGAATGAAGGGGGGCCCTGGCCCTGGGTCCCACCCCGCTGGACTGGGGCCCCAGGAAGGCTCCTTCCAATAATCTCCAATAGCTCTTCTCCTAACAGGGTGAGTTCCGCCTCCTGGTACTTCCTCAACGTCTTCGGCCTGCGCCGGGTGTACAATCTCCTCCTGGGGGAAGAGACTGGTAAGAGGCCGCTTGGAGATCGGGAAGGAGGGGGTTGATTTCAGTGGGAAGTACAGAATGCCCAGAAGATGACAAAAAAGGAAGAGGAGATTGGATTTATACCCCACCCTTCACTCGGAGTCTCAGAGCAGTTTACAATCTCCTTTCTCTTCCCTTTCCCACAACGCAGTCACCTTCCCTTCCTCTCCCCTGTGAGGGAGGTGGGGTTGAGAGAGCTCTGAGACCTGCGACTGGCCCAAGGACACACGGCAGGCTTCATGGGGGGGAATCGAACCCAGTTCTCCAGATTAGAGTCCGCTGCTCTGAAGGAGGAGAAGAGGAGATTGGATTTATACCTCGCCCTTCACTACCCGAAGGAGTCTCAGAGCATCTTAACGTCTCCTTCCCCTCCCCCTCCCCACAACAGACACCCTGTGAGGTGGGTGGGGCTGAGAGAGCTCTGTCAAGGACTGCTCTTGAAAGAACACCTCTGAGAGAACCTGTGACTGACCCGAGGCCACACCAGCAGCTGCATGTGGAGGAGTGGAGGATCAAATCCGGTTCTCCCAGATTAGAGTCTGTGCTCCTAACCACTACTGTAGCACGTCACGTGGCCCATGGGGACTCACACAGATGAATACCCCTCTATACAGAAACATGCCCTGTACACAGAAAAGCAGAGAAGTCTTGGCTAGAGCCCTTCCCCTTATGTTGCCATTTTAAGTAGAGATTTTAGTGGGGGAGGGAGACTGGGAGGAGCATTCCACTCCTGCGAACCCCAAGTGGTGACAGCCCAGCTCAGCAGGTTTATCACTTCGGCGGGGACCAGTCTGTTGGAGTGAAGCCATTCCCTTTCCCCTCCAATCGCATTTCTCTCGGCAGCTGCAGAACAGAACCAACTGCTCCTGCAAGACCAGTTCCTGGGTCCCACCGTGCCGTCCCCCCCGGACCCAAATAAGGCCTTCAAGGTAAGAACCTGAGTTTTAGTTTGGCAGGGGTTGCACCCAAGAGCGTTTCGGGGACGGGACACGAGGAAGAAGAACCAGCTTGTGTTAACAGAGAGACGTGACGAGAGCCCTGACCCCGAATGGCCCAGGCCAGCTCCATCCAGTGGCGGACCTAGATTTTGGGGACCCTAAAGCTTGAACTGTTACGTCCCTTCTCAACCAGCAACAACAGGGCAGCATCCGACAAGGTCCAAAGGGCCTTGCTGCCCTTGCAAGGACCTCGAGGCCCAAATGGCAGAGAATGGGGGCGGTGGGGTGGAGCTCTCGAAAATGGGGCATTCAGTGAGCCCCTTCCCGCCAGCAACGAGCTCTGGGTCACCACCAATGTTCCCTCTAAGCCGTGGAGTCTTGTGAGCAAGAACTCTACTTTGTGAGCGAGTGATTTGTCTACTGCATAAATTAGTTTGCTCTGGAGCCCTCCTTCGTGAGCTAAGACAAAAATGTGTGAGCCGGAGGCTAAAAAGCTGTGAGCTAGCTCACCCTAACTCAGCTTAGAGGGAACACTGGCCACCACTGTTATCTTCTTCAGTGGGGCTGTTCCGTGGTAGATCACCCCAATTTTTTAAAAAAAATTAACCACTACATCTCAGGTTTTGATTAAAATTGCCGTACTGGCCATATGAGACGGGCATTAGAGCCTATTCTAAGGTCAGTATTAAGCACTTCGCCCCATTGGCTTATGATTCTGTCACTAAAACAGCTTTATCGTAATAACACTTTAAAAAACTCCCATCAATTTTGTTGAAAGATTCACTCATTTAAAAAAAAAAAGTTGCATCGGGGTCCCTCCGGGCGAGCGATTTGGCTACTGCATCAGTTTGCTCTGGAGCCATCCCCTTCCTGAGCGAAGACAAAAATGTGTGAGCCGGAGGGTAAAAAAACTGTGAGCTAGCTCACACCCAACTCAGCTTAGAGGGAACACTGGTGGTGAGCAGTGCTCCCTCTGAGCTATGGAGTCTTAGGAGTAAAAATTCTACTCTGTGAGCTTGGACCAGATAACAGGAGCTGACTGACTAGATAATGGGTCTGCACCTCTCAATCTCTTGTCATGGAATATAGCTGGCTGGAAGAATAAATTGGCTGACCTGACTTTTAGAAGTTTTCTAGCCAGGTTTGATGTCATCCTGCTTCAGGAAACTTGGTCACATGAGAAGGTGTCCTTAGAAGGCTTCAGATCTCATTCGTTGGAGGCTTTTAGACTGCAGCGATTCGGAAGATTCCAGGCTGGACTTACCATACTCTGGTCTACCACCTCCAATATAGAGATGTTACCTTTACAGCATTGTGGCCAAATGGCCCAGGCCTGCATGTTAAAATGGGATGAGAAATCCTTAGTAATAATCAATGTATATATGCCTGTATGTGTTGGTAAGAAATGTTTACTAGACCACTGGGAGGAGTTTTCCGAGTATCTGGAAGATCTTGAACAAAAATTCCCAACCTTGAATATTATCATGGCGGGCGATTTTAATGCTAGAATAGGGAAGGACGGAACAGAGAGTGTAGAGAGACTTAATCTCTCAGTGGATAATGCCATTCCTCCCTGTTTTTCTAGGATGAGACTGTCCAGAGATGCAGTTTTTAATTATGCTGGTCTTTGTTTAGCTCAGATATGCCTTAGGTTCAATTTAACTACTCTGTGAGCGACTGACATTAAAGTTGTGAGCGAGCAATTTGGCTACTGCATAAATTAGTTTGCCCTGGAACCATCCCTTCCTGAGCTAAGACAAAAATGTGTAAGCCGGAGGCTAAGAAACTGTGAGCTGGCTCACACTGACTCAGCTTAGAGGGAACACTGGAGGTGAAGTGTTTTGCCTCTGGAGTGATGTACTAACACAAAGTCCGGTTTATGCCCTCTAAGCAAAACTCCCTATACAGAGTTACCGGCACAGACGCGGTTCCAGCAGGGTTATTTTCCACCGGACTGCAGTGTCGGCCCACAATTTTGGTTTACTGTTGTTGTAGTGATTATATTCCTTCCCCCCCCCCCCGCCTCAGGCCGAGTGGGAAGCTTTGGAGCTCGTCTCTCACCACTGGGCCCTCCAGGATGTAGAAGAACAGCTGATGGGGCGGGATCTCAAACTGACGCGGAGGTCTGGGTCCGACTGAGCCGATCGTCGGCATCCGAGGGTTGCCGCCCAGCAGGGAAGCGACGAGCCCCCAAAGAGGGTGCGACAGAAGCCCGCCCTTACCTTGCATGGTGTGTTAAAGAGTGTGGCACAGCTATCGGCTTCACAGGCGGAGCAGCGCCGGAGTGGTAGGCGACGGAGACACTGGAACAAGCCCTTGGTCCCAGCAGCATGTCGTGCCGAGAAGGCCGGGGGAGAAGAAAAAGCAGAATACACTGCCGCTCACCGACAGGAAGAACGGAGCGTGCGGGGGCCGCCTCTGCTTGTCCGAGCGCAAAGGGGTGTGTGTGTGTAGACAGCAGAATGGTTTGTGTATTAAAACAGATCGCTATAACTCTTCTGGCTTTGATGGACACTGTGGTTTGTGTATTAAAACAGATCGCTATAACTCTTCTGGCTTTGATGGACACTGTGGTTTGTGTATTAAAACAGATCGCTATAACTCTTCTGGCTTTGATGGACACTGTGGTTTGTGTATTAAAACAGATCGCTATAACTCTTCTGGCTTTGATGGACACTGTGGTTTGTGTATTAAAACAGATCGCTATAACTCTTCTGGCTTTGATGGACACTGTGGTTTGTGTATTAAAACAGATCGCTATAACTCTTCTGGCTTTGATGGACACTGTGGTTTGTGTATTAAAACAGATCGCTATAACTCTTCTGGCTTTGATGGACACTGTGGTTTGTGTATTAAAACAGATCGCTATAACTCTTCTGGCTTTGATGGACACTGTGGTTTGTGTATTAAAACAGATCGCTATAACTCTTCTGGCTTTGATGGACACTGTGGTTTGTGTATTAAAACAGATCGCTATAACTCTTCTGGCTTTGATGGACACTGTGGTTTGTGTATTAAAACAGATCGCTATAACTCTTCTGGCTTTGATGGACACTGTGGTTTGTGTATTAAAACAGATCGCTATAACTCTTCTGGCTTTGATGGACACTGTGGTTTGTGTATTAAAACAGATCGCTATAACTCTTCTGGCTTTGATGGACACTACCATTACCGAATGGGGGATAACGCTGGGCTTTCAGCGTTCGGGGAGGGGGTTTCTCCAAAACGACCCTGACTGAATACTTTCAAAATCAGCAATGCCTTCATCAGCAGTACGGAGCAGTTGCAACCCTGAAACTTGACTGCAAGGGTGAAGGAAGGGTTGGGAACAGGATGGGCCTTTGGGGTGAGCGAGGAAGAAACAAAGGCTGAGATAGGAAACAGCAACACACACACCCCTCCCCACGTCTCTTTTAAAAGGATCTTCCACATTCTCGTTTCCCTCGCCTGTGCGTTCCTATTGCTTTATGTCTGGCATATCTCCCTGCAGATTTAAAGGGCAAGTTTTGTGCTGGAGCTGCGGTGGCTCAAGTGGTTAAGACGCTGAACTGCAGGCTGTGGAAGGTCGGGAGTTCAGCAGTTCGAGAGCCGAGTGTGCGGCATGACGGAGTGAGCTCCCGTCTCTAGTTCCAGCTCCTGCCAACCTAGCCGTTCGAAAGCAAGAGATTGCAAGTAGATAAATAGGTACCACTTCAGTGGGAAGGTAACAGCGTTCCGTGTGCCTTGGTGTTTAGTCATGCCGGCCACATGACCACGGAAATGTCTTCGGACAGCGCTGGCTCTTCGGCTTGGAAACGGAGATGAGCACCGCAACCCTAGAGTCGGATTCGACTGGCTTTCGAGCAAGGGAACCTTTTGTGCTGAAAACGAAGCCGTGTAATATAGGATCGACCACTAGAGGGAGCAAAACACGTGTGGAGCAGGAGAAACCCTAAAGCAAGAAGAACACACAAGCCCTGGGAAAAGAGAATGGAGGAAAAGCCCAAAGAGAACTGAACGAGTGCGAGCAAATATTCCTTCGAAGCCACTCAGGCTACCAGCCTCCTACTCAAACTTTTCACTTATGTTGTTGTTGTTCAGTCGCACAGTCGAGTCCGACTCTTCGCGACCCCATGGACAATCTCCCGCCAGGCTCTCCTGTCTTCCGCCGTCCTCCGAAGTTGACTCAATTTCATGTTCGTTGCATCGATGACACTGTCTAACCATCTCATCCTTTGCCGTCCCCGTCTTCTTTGACCTTCAATCTTTCCCAGCATCAGGGTCTTTTCAAGTGAGTACTCCCTTCTAATTTGGTGGCCAAAGTATTTGAGCTTCAGTTTCATTATCTGGCCTTCCAGGGAACAGTCAGGGTTGATTTCTTTGAGGACTGACTGATTTGTTCTTCTTGCAGTCCAAGGGACTCTCAAGAGTCTTCTCCAGCACCATAGTTCAAAAGAATCTATTCTTCGGCGCTCGGCCTTCCTTATAGTCCAACTCTCACAGCCATACATGACTACTGGGAATACCATTGCTTTGACCATGCGGACTTTTGTTGGCAGGGTGATGTCTCTACTTTTTATCATGCTGTTTAGGTTCGCCATCGCTTTCCTCCCAAGGAGCAGGCGTCTTTTAATTTCATGGCTGCAGTCACAGTCTGCGGTGATCTGGGATCCCAGGAACGTGAAGTCTGTCACTACTTCCACGACTTCCCCTTCTATTTGCCAAGGAGTGATGGGGCCGGATGCCATGATCTTAGTTTTTTTGATGTTGAGCTTCAAGCCCACTTTTGCGCTCTCCTCTTTTACTCTGAGCAAGAGGCTCTTTAGATCCTTTTCACTTTCAGCCATTAGAGTGGTATCATCTGCATATCTGAGGTTGTTGATCTTTTCCCCAGCAATCTTAATTCCCGCTTGTGATTCATCCAGGCCAGCATTTCGCATGATGTACTCTGCATATATATTAAATAAGCAAGGTGACAGTATACATCCTTGTCGTACTCCTTTTCCTATGCTGAACCAATCAGTTGTTCCGTATCCGGTTCTAACTGTCGCTTCTTGGCCCTTATACAGGTTTCTCAAGAGACATGTGAGGTGGTCTGGTACTCCCATCTCTTTAAGGACCTGCCATAGTTTGTTGTGATCCACACAGTCAAAAGCTTTAGCATAGTCAATGAAGCAGAAGTAGATATTTTTCTGGTACTCTCTTGCTTTCTCCATAATCCAGCGAATGTTGGCAATTTGATCTCTAGTTCCTCTACCTCTTCGAAACCCAGCTTGTACTTCTGGTAGTTCTCTATCCACGTACTGTTGAAGCCTAGCTTGTAGGATCTTGAGCATGACCTTGCTAGCGTGTGATATGAGTGCAATTGTGCGATAGTTTGAACATTCCTTGGCGTTGCCCTTCTTTGGGATTGGAATGTATACTGATCTTTTCCAATCCTGTGGCCACTGTTGCGTTTTCCAAATTTGCTGGCAAATGGAGTGCAGCACTTTAACAGCATCATCTTCTAAGACTTTGAATAGCTCAGCTGGAATACCATCACCTCCACTAGCTTTGTTGTTAGTAATGCTTTCTAAGGCCCATTTAACTTCACATTCCAGGATGTCTGGCTCGAGGTCAGTGATTATACCGTCGTGGTTGTCAAGGACATCGAGGTCTTTCTTGTATAGTTCTTCTGTGTATTCTTGCCATCTTTTCCTAATCTCTTCTGCTTCTGTTAGGTCCCTACCGTTTTTGTCCTTTATCATGGCCAGCTTTGCATGGAACGCTCCCTTGATTTCTCCAACTTTCTTGAAGAGATCTCTAGTCCTTCCCATTCTATTGTTTTCTTCTATTACTTTGCACTGTTCATTCAGGAAGGCCTCCTTATCTCTCCTTGCTGTTCTCTGGAAATCTGCGTTCAGTTGGGTAAATCTTTCCTTTTCGCCTTTGCCTTTCGCTTTCCTTCTTTCCTCTGCTATTTGTAAAGCCTCATCAGAAAGCCATTTTGCTTTCTTGCATTTCTTTTTCTTTGGTATGGTGGTGATTGCTGCCTCCTGTACAATGTCACGAACCTCCGTCCATAGTTCTTCAGGCACTCTATCTATCAAATCCAGACCCTTGAATCTATTCTTCACCTCTACTGTATATTCATCAGGGATGTGATCTAGGTCAAACCTGAATGGCCTCGTGGTTTTCCCGATTTTCTTCAGTTTAAGTCTGAATTTTGCAATGAGCCACTTTTAAATCCATCGTGCGCTGTGAGACAAACAATAACTTATCTACCTCACCCTATCCCCTGGCATCTCTCCTCCTGTTAGCCAACAGTAGCTTCTACGCGCCACCTTGGGCAACGCTGCGTGCCAAGTTTTGAGCAGCGAGCAAGGGAAGGTCTGTGTTCGAGCTGAAGGAGGGGACCACACACATTCAGCTGCTTCGGCCATTAAAAGAGGCGTGGGGGAGTCTGAAGGGTGTGAAAGGACAAGAACGGCAGCATGCTGGTTCTGTCTAGTACACAGTGGGGCACTACAAGAGAAGCCTTATGGCTGAGGCTTTCGGATGGCCTGTGAGTGAATCTGGACACACACCCCTCCCCTGAGAAAGGCAAGTACAAGTTCAGGGGGGCCCTCCAACCACAGGGCTAAGTGTTTCTTTAGAACAAGGATCTCCAACGTGGTACCCATGGGAACACTGACACCCGCTGTTTCTTGGCACTCTTTGGCCCAGCAAGACTTCTACATAAGAACATAAGAGAAACCCATGTTGGATCAGGCCAGTGGCCCATCCAATCCAACTCTTGTCACACAGTGGCCAGGAGGTCCAGCAGTGGGGCCAGGAAGCCCTCCCACTGTTGCCCCCCCCCCCCGGCACCAAAAATACAGGGTATCACTTTCCCCAGACGGAGAGTTCCTATCTATACCTTGTGGCCAGTGTTCCCTCTAAGCTGAGGTAGTGCAAGCCAGCTCACAGTTTCTTAGCCTCTGGCTCAAACATTTTTGTCTTAGCTCAGGAAGGATGGTTCCAGAGCAAACTCACTTATGCAGTAGCCAAACTGCTCACTCACAACTTGAATGCCAGTAGCTCGCAAAGTAGGATTTTTGCCCACAAGACTCCACAGCTTAGAAGGAGCATTGCTTGTGGCTAATAGCCACTGATGGACCTCTGCTCCGTATGTTTATCCAGTTCCCCCTTGAAGCCGTCCATGCTTCTGACTGGCTGTGTAGATTTTTGAAAAATGTTTTAGAAACTGCTGCCCCCACGGCACAAGGATCGTCACTGTGTGACTGTTTTGTGGCTGGCTCCGCCTCCTGTGGCAGACATTTTCTGACGACCGTTTTGTGGCCTAAGCCACTATTTATGCGTTTGGACACAGTGTGCCCACCAGCCCAAAATGGTTGGAGTCCCTGCTTCAGAACAAGGCCCCCAGCGAGTGGGTAAGAGTCGATTTGTGCCAGGGACCTAGTTGTCCCCACCATTAAAAGTGTGTTCAGATCCATTTAAACTAGAGGGCCAATATGGTAACGGAAAGGGGGCGAAAAAGAGTCCACGCCTCCTTAAATGAAGTTGTTTTATGTACAGGGTTTTTTTTGCCACATGCCAAAAATAGTTTCTTCAAAAAAAGAAAAAACTCACAGAGAAGAAAGAGCCTCCCCAAATCCAGTGAAGGAAACGTCTTCCCAAAATCCTTAAGAAAATACACTTCGGGCTCCTGCGGTCGGCAAGTGCTCCGTGCGTGGCCGCGGGTGCCTCCGGTCGTTTCCTGCCCTGCACGCGGAAACCTATTTACAAACCAGTGTGATCCCTGAGCCTGGAAAGCAGCAGCAGTAGTCGAGACACTGAGCAAAAAAGAGGACAAACTCCCGCCAACTCTCTGGGGCCAGGTTAGGCCTATGACCGACCCCCGCAATGCACCCCCCACGCACACCGCGACCCCAACTCAGGTGGCTGGAGAGGGGAAAGTGGGTTGTGACATTCCTCTCCCTCAGACTGAGGAGTGCGTGGGACAGGAACAGCTCTGAGGCCGCATCAGCCGAACGTAGCTTCAATCCCCACCCACCCACCCAAACCAGCTTTGACACGAAAATTCTGTGGCGGCAGATTTCCAGCCGAATGGCTAACAAGCACCACCCTGGACGCAGCAGGGCGGGTTCAAAAACAAGGATACTGTGAAAGACTGACCAAGAAACGCATGCAGGCCTAGCGGCAGGGGAGCTGTAGAAATTATTGCTTTTCTTTTCAGGAGGAGGTGGAGAGCGGAAGGAGGCACTTGAGAAGTGGGGGAGGGAGAGACGACAAGGTAGGCTTATCCGGCACCTTGCAGCCACCGAGTTAGGGGTAGGGGGTGTGTCACACTGGCTGGAGAGCACAGCAGAGAAAGAGAGAATACCTTTTTTTAAAAAAAAAATCCAAGCAAAAACAAGCGCCTGGTATGGCTGACCACCCCCCAAGGGCTTGCAAGAACGATCTGTGTTGACAGTCCCCCCTCCGTCGGGAAGCCCTAGCCCGGAGAAAGGCTCCACGCTTCGGAGACGGAGGAACCGAGAAAGCCCCTCCCGGCCACACCCCCTTTATCTTACAAAATGCTGGTGCAACACATTGCCCCTGTGAGGGGTGGGTGGGTGGGACAAAGATCCCCCGCCTCCACCGCCCTTCAGAGCAAGAGAAACTATGTGCAATGCACACGGGAACAGCAGGGGGGGGCGGGTCTGCTCCGGCCCCACCCGAAGCACCCCGTTCCAAGGCCTGAGAGAGATTAGCCGCTGCCCTTGGGGGAGAACACAGCTGCCAGTGTCAGTTTCTGAGGAAAGGAAGGTGCGCGGCTCTTGCCTCCCCCCGCGTCCCCGGCTGCGAGGAAGAGGGGAGGGGGGAGCCGGGTGAGGGTCAGTCCACGTCCATGAAGTCTCGGCTGGTGGTCTGGCCGGGAAGGGAAGCGCAGCTGGCCTCGCAGTCCTCCTGCTCTCGGGCACCGGCAGTGCTTGTGGCCGTGGGAGAGGGAGCCGGGTGACGAACTTTGTCCTGACGTTGATAGAAGAGGACGTAGGCGGCTTTGGACTGCGTCGGGGGAGGAGAAAAGAAGAGCAAGGGTGAGGGTCAACACATGAAACTGCCTTGTACCGAATCAGGCCCCTCAGTCCCTCGAAGTCAGTGTTGTCTACCCAAACGGGCAGCGGCTCTCCAGGGTCTCCGGCCGAGGTCTTTCACATCACCTACTACCAGATTTTTTAACTGGAGATGCCAGGAATTGAACCTGGGACCTTCTGCGTGCAAAGCAGAGGCTGTTCCACTGAGCCACAGACAGCGTTCCCTCTAAGCTGAGTTAGTGTGAGCTAGCTCACAGTTTTTTAGCCTCCGGCTCACAGATTTCTGCCTTAGCTCAGGAAGGGATGGCTCCAGAGCAAACTAATTCATGCAGCAGCCAAATTGCTCGCTCACAAGACTTCACAGTTTAGAGGGAGCATCGGCCATAGACCTTTCCCTGACTGTCTTGAATACACAAAGCCGCCTTGTACTGAATCAGACCTCCTTTGGTCCATCAGAGTCAGTATGGTCTCCTCAGACCGCCGGCGGCTCCCAGGGTCTCCAGCGGAGGCCTTTCACATCACCTCCTGCCAGGTCTTTTAACTGGAGATGCCAGGGATTGAACCTGGGACCTCCTGTATGAAGGCTGGCAGACCAAAGCAGAAGTCCTACAGGAGAGACTTATGAACAAAGGAAAGGGGAGGATTGACGCAGGCCGAGGGTCGTTCCCAGTCGTAACCCGACTGCCAAGAAGGCATGAGCTAAGATGAGAAGCCGTAGCATGCACAGGTCCCCGAATATGGACACTGTTTCCTTGAAACTTTCGATCGCTTTCCCCAAGTGTCTGAAAACCGAGTAGCGCAAAAAAGAAAACTCAGTGCTGCACAGAAAGTGAGTAGGGGGTTCGGATACACCCCCGCCCGGTGCCCCTTGGCCAAGTCACACTCTCAGAGCCCTGCTGGATCAGACCAGCGGTCCATCTAGTCCAGCATCCTGTCTCACACCGTGCCCAACTAGCTTCTCTAGAGGTACAACAACCAGGCCTAGAGTCTGAGATCTTCCCCTCTATGTTGCCTCCTGGCTCTGGGATTCAGAGGCTGACTTGCCTTTGAACGTGGAGGTTCCCCTTTAGTTACCACTGTTCCCTCTAAGCTGAGTTAGTGTGAGCTAGCTCACATGTTTTTAGCCTCTGGCTCACATTTTTGTCTTAGCTCAGGAAGGAGGGCTCCAGAGCAAACTGATTTATAAAGCAGCCAGATCACATGCTCACAACTTTCGTGCCAGTAGCTCACAAATTAGAATTTCTGCTCACAGGACTCCGTAGCTTAGAGGAAGCATTGCTAGTGACCACTGGTAGTCCTACCTCTGTATGGATACTGGAGGGCCACAGCCCTTTTCTGAAGCCCTCGTGTTCATTTCCCAACTAATCCAGTCAGATAATTGGGTTGAGGACTGACACTGCAGAGAAACAGACTCAGATTTCCCCGTCAAGCTCCGCAAGACCCGCTCAAGGGGACTTCGAAGAAGGGGAAAGGGGCTGGAGGTGACCCAACTGCCTGGGACGAATCAGACCTGGTTTGCCTTGAGATGTGCTGGACCCAAAAGGCAGGCTCAAGCCTGTCCATTGACAGCAGGCCAGAGAGAGTTTGGCACTGCAGTGGGTAAAAAGAGGGAAGGGGGGTGCCGATAGTCCGGACTTTGGTCAGCGAGTGTCAAAAAGACACAGTGCTTCAGACGTCTCGTCTCGCTCACCTCGATCTGGGCCTTGGAAACCACGGAGACGTTGCTGTCGTCGAAGTAGAACCACGTCCCGCTGTCTTTGTTCCGGGCAAATGTAGTGTCTGGAAGGCAGAAGAGACCAGGCAGTTCACGGGAAGGACCGTTTCAACATTTTTCCAGCGTGCATCGAGGGAAGAGATGCTGGCTTACTGCCCAGACACCATGTCGATCTCGTATTCATTAGACCGGGGCCCCCAACATGGCGCCCCTGGGCACCATGCTGCACATTAATACTTTCCCTGGCACCTGTCAAGTGCTTTCAGAAAGTGGGTGGGGGCAGGTGGGTCTTTTACCCAGCAAGGCTTCTGATTGGCCACTGGAGATTTCATTGGCTGGGCGGGTTTTTTAAAAAATGTTGCTTTATCAGTAACGGCCACCACAGTACAAGGATCTTCACTGTGTAACTGAAGGTAAGCGACAGCAGCCATTTTGCGGCTGGCTCCGCCTCCTGCAGCAGCCATTTTGCAGCTGTGCCCACCACCCTGTGTCAGAGTTTCGAAGGTGCCTGCAGGCTCAAAAAGGTTGGAGACCCTGGTATTTTTGGCCACTCTGTGACAGACTGTTGGACTGGATGGGCCACTGGCCTGAGCCAACATTGGCTTCTCTTATGTTCATACCCCTGCTTTAGACTCCTGGGACTAACGTTTATTTACAGACTAGAAACAGGAGTGAGAAGAGGTTTTATTTCGGAACTATTGTCACAATCACTTCAGTGCGGAAAAGGGTGCTACAGTTCTTCTGCATCTAGCCCCCAGGCAAAAGCAGTCCTTCGCTGAGAGGACAAGAAGGTGCTGCCTTTCAAAAGGAAATTTGACCCCCTAGAGGAGAAAACAGCTACGCAGCACTCCAGGGCCCCAGCACAGTCTCTCGAGAGTCGAAACAGGAAGCAGCTGCTGGACTGTCCAACAAGCTGCTTCAGATCCAAGCTACTGGCCAGTCAAGAGCAAGCCGTACAGTTCCTGGGTCGATTGGCAGCAAACAGCTTTCGGGACTGCCTGTCCTGGTACATCCCCCAAAGAGCGCTACGCTCGAGTGATCAAAATCTACTGGTGATTCCCCAGCCCAAAGAGCGTCCATCTGTCCTCGACGAGGGCCGGGGCTTTTTCGGTCCTGACACCGCCTGGTGGAACACTCTCCCAGGAGAGATCAGGGCCCTGCGGGATTTAGTACAATCCCACAAGGCCTGCAGAACAGAGTTGTTCCGCCTGGCCTATGGCGGAGAGCAGTACGGGGGCCCTCGCTGGTAATGAGTTTGCCCCCCCCCCCTGTCTTCCTTTTCCCCTCCCCTTGTGTCCCCTCCGTTCCCTTTCGCAGTTGTTTGAACCCTGCCCCTCCATATGCCATCTGGACTTTTATAGAATTGTCGCATTTATATTGTATTTTACTGCATTTATTGTCTTCATTGTAATCGTATGCTGTTTTCAAGCCCTTTTAAATTGCATTTTAGGGGTTTAATGTTACCCCCTCTTTGGGGACGGAGGTAAAAGTTCCCCTTGCTCGAAAGCCAGTCGAATCCGACTCTAGCGGTGCGGTGCTCATCTCCGTTTCCAAGCCGAAGAGCCAGCGCTGTCTGAAGACTTCTCCGTGGTCATGTGGCCGGCGTGACTAAACACCAAGGCGCACGGAACGCCGTTACCTTCCCACCGAAGCGGTACCTATTTATCCACTTGCAATCTCTTTCTTTCGAACTGCTAGGTTCATGTGGCCAGCATGACTAAATGCCAAGGCGCACGGAACGCTGTTACCTTCCCACTGAAGCGGTACCTATTGATCCACTTGCAATTTCTTGCTTTTGAACTGGATGGGCCATTGGCAGGAGCTGGGGCCAGAGACGGGAGCTCACTCTGTCATGTGGCACTCGGGTCTCGAACTGCCAAACTACTGACCTGCCGGTCTGCAGCTTCAGTGTCTTAACCACTTGAGCCACCACAGCCCTCTTTGGGGGGAGAGGGCTATAAAACGACATAAAATAAATAAATAAGCCCCCTCCCCCAATTCCATAAAACCCCCCCTTTTCCTGTTCTGCTACTGCCTCGTTCTGCTGTCTGGACTTCAGGGTGGCCTGGGAGGCTTTGCTACTGATGGTGAAGATGGGTACGTGAACTCATGAAGCTGCTTTATACTGAATCAGACCTCTGGTCCACCAAGGTCAGTACTGCCCACTCAGACTGGCCGTGGCTCTCCAGGGTCTCAGTTGGAGGTCTTTCACATCACCCACTGCCTGGTTCTTTTGACTGGAGACACCGGGGATTGAACCTGGGACATTCTGCATGCCACGCAGAGGCTCTACCGCTGCGCCAGGGTACAGAATTGCACAGCCCTCCTCAGGAACAGATTTCTGTTTTGTAGAAACGATCTGTGAACCACGCCCCACCCAAGTCCTTCCAGGTCCCCTCAAGACCCACAGAAAATCTGATTTTGCTTCTCCCCATCTGTGCTTAGGGCCTTGGGGTTCATCTCCCTACTCCCGCCCCCCTCTCACCAGACCAGCCGGTACTTACAGTGCCCATCTCGGAGACCACCGTAGTGGTTAGACACGGCGATAAGGTCGTACTTGTACACCGTGTGATCAGTTTCTTTCCGTGGCTTGATAACGAAGTCAGAGAAATCGAGGTCCCTGCAAGACAGAGATTTTGATACAGCGGATTCCCCTCCCCCAAGAAAATTTCCCTCCTGGGAGCAACAGGGCATTCTGGGAAATACACTATTGCAGACATTGGCCACGGTTCTTCCAGTGGAGGAAGAAGAGATTGGATTTATACCCCGCCCTTCACTTGGAGTCTCAGAGTGGCTTACAAGCTCCTTTCCCTTCCCCTCCCCACCTCAGACACCCTGTGAGGTAAAAGAAGAAGAAGAGATTGGATTTATACCCCGCCCTTCACTACCCAGAGGAGTCTCAGAGCGGCTTACAAACTCCTTTCCCTTCCCCTCCCCACAACAGACACCCTGTGAGGTAGGTGGGGCTGAGAGAACTCTGACACAAACTGCTCTTTCAGGAGCAGCTGTGCCAGAGCTTGTGACTGTCCCAAGGTCACATCAGCAGTTGCAAGTGGAGGAGTGGGGGATCAAACCCGGTTCTCCCAGATTAGAGTCCGCACACTTAACCACTACACCAAACTGGCTCTCTACCTAAATGTGAATGCCCACCTATATGGTACCCGCCTAAATGTGAATGCCCACCTATATGGGAGGGGCACCGCATGAACTCCCAAGTGTTCAAGACTGCTCTGTGTACATCAGTTATCCTTCCAAACACCCTGAAAGGTAGGCCGGTTACTTCTAATTCCAGGGTCAGATTCAAGTCCAGTAGCACCTTAAGAGACCAACAGGATTTTCGAGGTGTACGTTTCTGAGAGTCAGCGCTCTCTGCATCAGATACAAATGCATTTCCCGAGATGAATTCCATCTGCCTTATCTAGGTCAGAGGCGTCGAACTCATTTATTACGAGGGCCGGATCTGACATAAAATGTCACTTTGTCGGGCGGGGCCATGTGTGCCATGACATGTTAATGCCAGTTCCGGAGATATAAACTGTAAAAATGACAGCAGCTAGTGAGCTCCAGGTTGGTGTGTCCTCACTGCGAGGCCCCATGGGCTGGGAGGGGGGTGTAGAGGAAAACCCACATGGGCGGACTGGAGAGGCAGCAGTGCAGCACTGGGCAGACACTGGTTGACTGCTGCAGACGAGGTTGTTCTGCTGTGACGCGGCCACCAATCGGAGTGGCTCCACCCACTCCCCTCCAATGCTCCCGCTAAGCTGTGGAGTCTTGTGAGCCAAAATTCTACTTTGTGAGCTACTGGCATTAAAGTTGTGAGCAAGTGATTTGGCTACTGCATAAATCGGTTTGCTCGGGAGCCGTCCTTCCTGAGTTGAGACGAAAATCTGTGAGCTGGAGGCTAAAAAACTGTGAGCTGGCTCACACTAACTCAGCTTAGAGGGAACACTGCTCCCCTCCCTGAGCGGACTCCTGTCCCCTCCCCTTGCACCAGTTGCTCGTGGGCCGCATAAGAGCCGGGGATGGGCCGGTTCTGGCCCCCGGGCCTTATGTTTGACACCCCTGATCTAGGCCATGTTATGTTGCTGTGTCTTTTGTATGCGGATGACAAACAGCTCTTCTCTCAAGAACTGTGGTTGGCCTGCCTGAACCTACAGCCTCCTTTTTGGAGTATTGCTCCAAAGTGGGCCTATTAATGTTTCTAAGTCACAGGTCCTTCTCTTTAGTTAAAAATAAAAACAAAACAATGGACCAGGAAATACAAGCGGGCAGTAGCAGGTTAGTTTATGGAGCAAGTAGATCAATTTAAGTATTCAGGATGCAAACCATCGCTGCCCTCAACCAAGAGCCTGGCGAAACATCTGGGGGGACAATATTCCTCGAGGGGGGGGGATATGTTCCTGCAACAGTTACAGCATTTAATGCTAAAGTTTCTGGGCAGTTGTATGCTATGGGGGTTTGGATTAGTGTGGTAGCAAATAATATTGACAGACCGTTACTAAGATTTTTACACAATATTCTGGGAACTCTGAGAGAAGTGGCAGGAATAGCTTCGAGAGCCGAGACTGGGGAGATGTCCTTTGAAGAAAACGCTTGGTACAGGGTCATCATACGAGTGACTGGGACAAATACGTGGCATTAACATTATTAGCATTAACATTATTAATGTCAGTTTGGTGCAGTGGTGAAGTGCGCGGACTCTAATCTGGGAGAACCGGGTTTGATTCCCCACTCCTCCACTGGCACCTGGCTGGATGACCTTGGGCAAGCCATTGTTCTGATAAGAGCTGTTCTTGAAAAAGAGCAGTTTCTGTCAGAGCTCTCTCAGCCCCACCTACCTCACAGGGCGTCTGTTGTGGGGAGGGGAAGGGAAAGGAGTTTGTAAGCTGCTCTGAGACTCCTTTGGGTAGTGGGGGGGGGGTATAAATCCAATCTCTTCTTCTTCTACTATGTCTGGGCATCACCAATGATATGATAGAAACTATGAGTAGTTGTGACTTGAGTCAGTCAATTAAAAGGTGTTTGAGGAATTTTGATTATAACATTATGCTGGTTAAGGCTCGCAGAGTATGTCCACCCTGTTCAATTGGTATTCTTCCCTTGGTAAAAATGCCAAACTACCTGCTTGAATTATCTTTTCTAATGTATAGAAGGGCATTTATGTTTGCGCATCTGAAGGCCTTTCTATCGGCGGTATTGTTAGGAAGGTTTAACCATATTCCACAAACAGATACAGAGAAGTAGCAGATGTGGAGAAATCAGCACTGGTAACGAGACAGGAAACCTAGGTCTCGATTCAGTCCAGGAGGATGCATTGTCTTGAGCTTCATTATCAGTTGCAATTCGGCAGCCTCGCTTTTTAATTTCCCTTTGAAATTCCTTTGTAAGAGAACTGCTACTTTTAAGTCAGCGACTGAATGTCCTGGAAGGTTAAAATGTCCCCCCACTGGTTCTTGAATGTTGTGGTTTTTGACGTCCATTAATTATGTCTATTAATCCATGCCTACTACCTGTCTACATATCACACCTAACCCAACCATGCCTGCTATTGTCATCTGCCTGCTAACATAATTGGGCATCTGAAATCACTCCACTTTCCAATATATAGGAGAGATGGACTTACATTCTAGCAATATCTGAAGAAGTGACCACTGACTCACAAAAACTCCTCCCCTGCTACAAATTTTGTTAGTCTTTAAGGTGCTACTGGACTCTTGCTCTTTTTTCTACTGCTACAGACAAACACGGTGACCCTGAGGTCACTGGTGGAAGGATGGGCCAAAAATGTAGTCAACAAATAAATATCTTCCAAGATGGAAGCAGCAGCCCTTCAATAACTTTCCGTCCTGCCGAACTCTGAAGTTCTAAGAACACGCCGGCACTCCAGTGACCCCCCCACCCCCAAGCTGTTGCCCAACTACACATCAGAGACATAAACCGCCCCAGAATGATTGCCACATGTTATCTCCCACCCCCACTCCCCGGCTTCAAGAGGAGACTGGCTTCAAACCCTCACCGGATGGGGAATTCCACGAGGGTGTCGAGCTTTTCCCGGGAGAACTTGGTGTAGGAGAAGCGCTTGAGGTGAATGATCAGGGTCTCCGGCAGCGACCACAAGTCCAACTTCTTGGTGGCCAGCTGGTGCTTTTTGCAGGTGGGGCAATACCTGGGGGAGAGGAAAGGAGTGTGAGCACCGAAACAAAGTTACAGGGCCACAGGCTCTGGGGCTCTCCCTCCTGCCAGGAAGGAGGTACAAAAAAAATCAAAGGCACAGATATAGAATGGGAGGGACTTGGCTTGACAGCAGCACATGTGAAAGGGATCTAGGTGTTCTGGTTGATCACAAGCTAAACATGAGCCTGCTGTGTGATGTGACTGCGAAGAAAGCTAATGCAATCTTAGGATGCATTAACAGAAGCACTGTGTCCAGATCACGGGAGGTGGGAGTTCCGCTCTGTTCTGCTATGGTCAGGCCTCACCAGGAGAACTGTGTCCAGTTTTGGGCGCCACATTTCAGGAAGGATGTTGACAAGCTTGAGCATGTCCAGAAGAGGGCAGCCAGGATGGTGAGAGGGCTGGAATCCAAGTCTTATGAGTAAAGGTAAAGGTTTCCCTTGCTCAAGAGCCAGTCGAATCCGACTCTAGGGGGCGGTGCTCATCTCTGTTTCCAAGCCAAAGAGCCAGTGCTGTCCAAAGACATTTCCGTGGCCGTGTGGCCGGCATGACTAGACGCCGAGGCGCACAGAACGCTGTTACTTTCCCACCGAAGTGTTAACTCTTTATCCACTTGCAATTTCTTGCTTTCGAACTGCTAGGTTGGCAGGAGCTGGGGCCAGAGACGGGAGCTCACTCCATCACGCGGCACTCGGGTCTCGAACTGCCGAACTACTGACCTTCCGCTCCGCAGCTCAGCGTCTTAACCTCTGAGCCACTGTGGCCCCCAGCAGCACATTAAAAGGTAAAGGTTTCCCTTGCTCGAAAGCCAGTCGAGTCCGACTCTAGGGTTGCGGTGCTCATCTCCGTTGCAAAGCCGAAGAGCCAGCGCTGTCCGAAGACGTTTCCGTGGTCATGTGGCCGGCGTGACTAAACACCGAGGTGCACGGAACGCTGTTACCTTCCCACTGAAGCGGTACCTGTTTATCTACTTGCAATGTCTTGCTTTCGAACTGCTAGGCTGGCAGCACATTAGAGACTGACAAAATTTGGGTGGTATAAGCTTCCGAGAGTCAAAAACTCCCTTTGTCGGATAGGTAGGGAGCTCTGACTCCTGAAAGCTTAAACACACCAAAGGTCTTGTTGATCCTTACGGTGCTACTAAGACTTCCGTTGAGCTCTTCTGCTGCAGACCCACATAGCTGCCCTCTTAAAACTGAGGCCCCTTTAAGACTCTCCAAGGAGGAATTCTGAGCCAGACATGGTGTGTGTGTGTGTGTGTGTGTGGAGAGAAAAGTCCCAATGAAAGTGTGGGAATTCTGACTCAACACTCAGTTTTGAGAAGGCGAAACATGGTTTTGCTGGTCAAAATACACATGGGGGGGGGGGGGGGACCCTCTGGGGGGAACCCTCTACAACATACTCTGAGAAGACAGTTTCCGAGGGTAGCCATCTTGGTCTGCAGTGGAAGAGCTGGGTTCGAGTCCAGCCATACCTTAGAGATTCAGGGAATAAGCTTTGGAGAGTCAAAAAGTGCCGCTTGTCGGAGACAAGTAGGAATGCAGATCCCAGAGTCTGTATATCTCAGTCAAAAGGAAGGAGACATGTTTCATAGAAGAGAAGATACAGAAATACAAAGCAGGGGAGAAACGCTAAGGGTCTTTGACCCTTTAAAGCTCAAAATCTTGTCGGGCTCTAAGATATTACTGAACTCGAATCTAACATATTCTGAGCAGTGTTCCCTCTAAGCTGTGGGGTATTGTGAGCAACAATTCTACTTTGTGAGCATTGAAGTTGTGAGCGAGCAATCTGCCTACTGCATAAATTGGTTTGCCCTGGAGCCATCCTTCCTGAGCCAAGACGAAAATGTGTGAGCCGGAGGCTAAAAAACTGTGAGCCTAGCTCACACTGACTCAGCTTAGAGGGATCACTGATTCTGAGTTGTCTAAAGAATTGCTTTATTGCTTTATTATGTGCTCAGCGTGGAGGGGAAGAGAGGCGAAGAGCCTCCTGATGGGAAGAATTATAAAGGTGCAAAGGAGGAAAAGGGGGAGGGGAAGCGAATCCGACCAAAAAAGCCTCCCTTTTGACAACCGAGAGGCCCATCCAGAATCACTCTGCCTAACAAGCAGACACAAGAGCATAAGAACATAAGAACATAAGAGATGCCAATGTTGGATCAGGCCAAAGGCCCATCCAGCACTGATTCTGAGCAAACCGTGGTTTACTGTTGCATGCGGATGCCTGGGAAGATCTTTAAGTCCACCCTCTTCAGGCGCAACAAAGAGGATTAGCTATTTCCTGGTTTGTGGCATCTGAACCTTACACCCGAGCTGATAAAACTCTGGGACGCACAAGAACAAGGATTCCAAAACCAGGATTTATTTATTTACTTTCAATTTATATCCCGCCTTGCCAGTGTAAACGGGATCAAACGGCTGTTTGGAAATCCTGGTTTACAAGGAAAAATGGCCAACTTGGATGTCATGGCAAAGTATGTCTTCCCAGGGGAAAACACAAACACACACAAGAAAGCACTAAGTTAGCTGGGCACGGGAGGAAAGGAGGAGTCCAGAAACACAAACTCCGCCCCCTCCTCCCGGGCTTCTTCACGAAGCAGCAAACTACGGTTTGCTACCAAACTATGCCTAAGTGTCAGGAAGGAAGGCTCTCTCCGGATCAGAATCTCTTCTTACGCTGTCGACTAGCACAATGGGAAGAAAAAATTAACACAGCCTTTAGCTTGGAGAAACTACAGCTGAGAGGTGACATGATCGAGGTTTGTCAGATTATGCATGGGACAGAGCAGGTAGTGAAAGAAGTACTTTTCTCCTGTTCTCACAATACAAGAACTCATGGCAGTGTTCCCTCTAAGCTGAGTTAGTGTGAGCTAGCTCACAGTTTTTTTAACCTTCAGCTCACAGATTTTTGTCTTACCTCAGGAAGGACAGCTGCAGAGCAAACTGATGTATGCAGTTGCCAAATCGCTCACTCACAACTTTAAGGCCCATAGCTCACAAAGTAGAATTTTTGCTCACAAGACTCCACAATTTAGAGGGAGCACTGCTTGTGGACACTCAATGAAATTGCTGAGCAGTCGGGTTAGAACAGATAAAAGGAAGTACTTCTTCACCCAAAGAGCGATTAACACACGGAATTCACTGCCACAGGAGGTGGCGGCGGCTACAAGCATAGACAGCTTCAAGAGGGAATTAGATAAACACAAGTGGGGGACCCGCGATACTCGCGGGAGAAGGGGAGCTCCACACCTATGAGGAAGAGGAGGAAGCAGCAGGAGGAGGTAAGTTCCCCCCCATCCT